GCTTTTGGACCCATGCAAATGCCCTTGAAATGAGTGAAGTTTATCAAAGCAAACTGTGCATTGCAGGAAGCAGTCTCAAAACACGCACACACCCATGCACCAATCTCCATGCACATGTGTGTGCGTACACACAGAGGTAGATATATTATTTCCCCAACTATTCCTTTTTTTTGGGGGGGAAAGGGTGTTGGTTTGGTTTTGGGGTTCATTTCCCCTTCCCTCCTCCCGCCCCCAAATTCTCCCCAGGATATTAACCAAAAAGTGTTTTAAAATCATGGCATGAAAACTCCTAAATGTAAATCTGAGTACCTTGTGATGCTGATAAAGAGGTTTTTTCTGAAACTTTCTGTGATGCTTAATATTTTTCTTAGGAAGTTTTGTTTAATGTTTGATCATTGTTCTGGAGGATGTTGGTTCTACTGGCATTGAACTAATGGAAATAAAATGCATGTGTTACAAGTGTAGAAACAGTGAAGAATTGTGAACTTACTGTACGATACTGATTCTGTTTTCAAACAATCTGTTTTGCTGTTCAATAGTTGACATATGGAAACGCCAATGTACTGTAATTTAGCACTTTTCCAGTGGACCCTGTTCTCACTACACCTGAGGGAAGACGTGGGTTTGGCTTGGGGCTGTCTGAACTCAACCTCTGCACACCTTCTGCATGCTTCGGCACCTGAATTGGCTGGGGGCTAGGGATGGGGGGACGGGGTGGGGGGGGACGGGGAGTAGGGGGGGAGGAAAGCAATGTTTTCTCATAGTTTTGGTGGCTGGTGTGGGGCAGAGGGGCAGTGGGTCTCCACTTCCCTGGCCAAACCAGGAGGATTTGGGTGAAGACTTTCAGGTGGATGGACCAGCAGCTTTCTGGTCCACCAGCATGTCCCACCAGGGAGCCAGGCTGGGAACGGGCTGTCTGATGTGGGGTGGGACAGACGTGGCTAAAAAGCAGCAAATCAATGAGCAAACCCTGAAATTAGAGCAGAAAAGTTAAACTCCCAGCAACCCTCCTCTGGCCCATAGCCTCCTTTCCTAGTGTTAACAGGGTGCAAAGTGTTACTTGTCATGTACTGTACTGAAAGGGTTAATTGATCCGTGACTGTATTGTACTGTATGAAAACTCATGAATTGCCTTGTATTGTTTCTAATGGACTGTACCATGTCACCCCCTCCACCGTCCATTCCCAACCTGTCTCAGATTTTCCAAATGACGCATGTTATCAGTTAGATCCTCCAAACTCTCTGGTGCTATAACTCTTCCATATCCGATGGTGCTTCTGCGGATGCTAACTGACGACATGCCGATCCAGAGCTTGAAGTTCACAATGTCTTTCTTGTCTGTTTGTATCCAGTTGACACACACACTCACGAAAAAAACACACAGAAAATTAATGATAAACTTGAATTTGTTTCAAAGCATCATTGACAATCTAATGTTTTCTATGTCTGCTTTTATTTGAGATGGCTTTTCTAGAAAGCAGCACACCAGCACCTTTACACTGGGAGGGGATATCATCCTGTTCATGCCACAGCAGCTCCTCCAGCATCTGAGGTGAGATGCTCCCTCGCTGGCTTTTCAGGCTCAGCCACAGGAGGTCAATCGATGAGAAACCAGTGAGGAAGAGGAGGTTCAGGTGCCTTCAAAGATATTTGAGCCTAAAAAGCAGCCAGTGTCCCCATGACCACCACCCCATCTCTACATAGGTGGTAGGTGTGCATTGAGAGTCTGAGAGGGAATGAACCTGCCCCTTGCTTGGTGGCAAGAATATGCTTTTTGTGAGAACGGAGGCAGAAAATTGGCAGCAGAAAATTGGAGGAAGAAAATTGGAAACAGGATATTGGAGTCAAGGGGAGACAGAGCTCTCAAAGACACCTCCATCTCCTCCTGGCATTGCTCATCTCTGATGGTGGAGTCTGAAGTTTTGCAGGTGACACACACCTTGGATGGTGTGAACAGACCCATCCTCTCCCACCCCCTGCTTCCCCTGATGTGAGCTGCTTTTTGGACAAAATAAAACCTGACTATATTTTATATCTATTTGAAAATGAAGTCTGATGTTTACCCCTGTTCTCAACTGAATTTGCATATTGTTGTTTGCCACAATATTTGTTCTGTCTCAAAATAAATTTGCTTACTTGTGTAGTCTTAACTGTCTGCTCTGGTTCTTATAATCGGATTTGTCGCCACTCCAAGGTGCCAGCTCTCCTTTGGGCGCTTCCCATGATACTAAGAAGGAAATCTGCCTGCCTGGAAGGGGAAATCATTTCAGCCAAGACTCACACTATAAATGTTCCTCTCTCGGTTATCTCGCATTCATCTCCCCAGGGCTTTTCAATTTGATGCTCTGTTTTTTCCCCCCAGGCTTTCATCATCAGATCCTTCTATCCAGTAAGTGCGCAACAGAGGAGCGGCTGTGCTTCAGCCCGCTTCATTTAGGAGATTAAATTGTTGCTAACGCATTTCTTGAGGGCAAGTCATTCCCAATTGCAACATTTTGCATTTGAAAATGAAGGGATTTATGGCTATGAGCTTGGATGAAAGCTGTGGGCATTGGCATCTGTAGCACCGTTCGGTTTTAGGGCACATTGCGTTAAAGGGAGGTTGGCATCAGTTGCTGGAGATGTGGCAGTAGAAGGCAGTGCCCTCAAAAGGCTAGAAAATCCATTCCATTTGCACATGCACTTCCCAGGATGTAATCAAATCAGCCAGCCGCTTCAATAAGAGGGATAAGCAAATGTTCCAGATCTGCATGCATTTGCAAAGGAAGCGTGTTACAAGACTCTCAGGTTTTGAGGTTTTCCCCCCAAAATGCTGCAGGCTGCTGCAGGAAGGCATTTTGTATTCCTTTATCTGTATATTCCCCCATATCTCTATGCACAATACTTTCCTGTATGTATGTTATGGCCATGGAGTACATTGTCAATTATTTATGCCCCTGCTCCCTTTGCCTCCTTCCTCCCCAACCTCTCTCCAGCTCTTCTTTTCACAGTTTATCAGGGTTTTGTAGATGTTTTCTCACAGTAGGATGGTGATGGACATCAGCATGGGAAGGAAGGAACAGAGATGAATCCTGTGGGTAGAAGCTGGGACAAGAAGCCTGACTTTGTGGAGGGTGTGTTAAGGTACATCTGCCTCCCAGACCCAGCAAAAATGCAACCTCAGTCTGCAACCCAGAATGCTGCTTTGTCACCTTTTAGCCTCAAACTGGGGGGGGGGGGTGGGCTCTGCTCGGGTGGTGGGCTCTGCTTAGGTGGCAAGCAGTGACTCTAGTCTGAGGATGTGTCCTCAGCTGATAACAGAGGAAAGGACTTTACGACTTTATCCATTTTTTCACTCTGTGGGTTTTTTTCCTACCTAAAACACAGGTGTGCCATCAGCCGCTTTTGTACCCACTACCCCTTTTCCTATCATTGTTTGCCACTGAGTAGAGCCTGGCTCCATCCTCGTGACACTCCCCCTTTATATATTTATATACACTAATAAGGTCACCCCTCAGTCTCCTCTTCTCTAAACTATAGAGACCCAGCTCCCTCAGTCTTTCCTCATAAGGGAGATGCTCCACTCCCTTAATCATCTTTGTTGCCCTGTGCTGGACTCTCTCCAGCAGGTCCCTGTCCTTCTTGAACTGAGGGGCCCAGAACTGGACACAATATTCCAGATGCGGTCTCACCAGGGCAGAGTAGAGGGGAAGGAGGACCTCTCTCGACCTACTAACCACCCCCCTTCTAATACACCCCAGGACGCCATTGGCCTTCTTGGCCACAAGGGCACAGTGTTAGCTCATGGTCATCCTGTCGTCCACTAGGACCCCCAGGTCCCTCTCCCCTACACTGCTCTCTAACAGGTCGTTCCCCAACCTGTACTGGAACCTGGGGTTGTTCCTGCCCAGATGCAGGACTCTACACTTTCCCTTGTTATATTTCATCAAGTTATTCCCTGCCCAACTCTCCAGCCTGTCCAGGTCTCGCTGGATGGCAGCACAGCCTTCTGGCGTGTCAGCCACTCCTCCCAGCTTAGTGTCATCAGCAAACTTGCTGATAGTACACTCAATTCCCTCATCTAAATCGTTGATGAATATATTAAATAATACCGGTCCCAGTACTGACCCTTGAGGCACTCCACTAGTTACAGGCCTCCAACTAGACTCCGCCCCATAGACTACAACTCTCTGGCTTCTCTCCTTCAGCCAGTTCACAGTCCACCTCACTACCTGATCATCCAGACCACACTTCCTCAATTTAGCTGTGAGGATGCTGTGGGAGACTGTGTCAATGCTTTGCTGAAGTCAAGGTAGACCACATCCACCGCTCTGCCATCATCCATCCACCGTGTTATTTCCTCATAAAAGGCTAAGAGATTGGTCAAGCATGATTTCCCCTTGGTGAAGCCATGTTAACTGCCCCTCATAACCCTCTTATCCTTGATATGCCTTAAGATGGCACCAAGGATAAGGTGTTCCATCACTTTCCCAGGGATGGAGGTGAGGCTGACAGGTCTATAGTTACCCGGGTCCTCCTTCTTGCCCTTTTTGAAGACTGGGGTGACATTTGCTTTCCTCCAGTCCTCAGGCACCTCTCCCGTTTCCCAAGACTTGGTAAAGATGATGGAGAGTGGTGTAGCAATGACTTCCGCCAGTTCCCTCAGCACCCGCGGGTGCATCCCATCTGGACCCATGGATTTATGGATGTCCAGATTGCTCAACTGGTCTCTAACCCATTCCTCATTGACTAAGGAAAACTGCTCCGTTGACCTGACTTCATCCAAGGTCTCTGGGGTACAGGGCTCTTCAGTACTGCCTGCAGCAGAGTAGACAGAGACAAAGAAGGCATTCAGTAACTCTGCCATCTCTGTATCTTCTGTCACCAGGGCACCCATCCCGTTCATCAGTGGGCCTACATTGCCTCTGGTGTTAGTTTTGTCTGCCATGTATTTGAAAAAGCTCTTTTTGCTGTCCTTGACCCTTCTCGCCAGGTTTAAGTCTAAGGAGGCCTTAGTCATTTTGGACAAGCCAGGGGATTACTTTTACAGTGGGTGTCCATTTCCCTTATGCTCAGCACATGGTGTGTGCTGTCCTTGGGAAGCTCTCAGCTGGAAAGATTTATTGTCTGCTGCCATGCTGGAGGTTTTGCCTCATCCCAGGGCTGTTGTGTTCTCTGCTGCAGTACCACAAGCATGGGCAATTCAGTTTAAAATAATCTGCTGGAAACAAATGAGCAAATAAAACTTCCAGGCGTATGTGAACAGTTCCTGGCCAGCGTCTTGTCTGGGTAAAGAAATAGGAAATGATGGACAATCTTTAAGAGTAGCCACAATTTTTTATATATATATATATTGCTTTCTTTTAATTTGCTGGATGTATTTTAGTTGGAAAGTTTGCTTCAGAGCTGTGATGTTTTGAACCCTTTAATTTTCTCCTTCACCTCAGGGTAAAGCCCACAAGTCTAGCTTTAGTGTTCCCGATAGTAGAACATCCCCCCACCTGAGTAGTTCCTCAGCCATTCTCAGGTTTTCCATCTGACATGAAAAAAACCCTACTGCAGTGGCTTCACTTATCTTACTCTGCTAAAAATCCCAGGAATGCTTACCACCTGTGATCTCCTAAAATCACAGTCCTTGCTGACTGGGCCAGGCACCCACAACTCAAGCATACCCAGCGCTCCAAACCTCATCAATCTAATAACTGGTTATTGTATCATTGACACTATACAATGCTGTTACATGCTGCTACTGAGGAGACGGCAAAGCATGTCAAAATGTATGGAAGATCAAACCAAGAGCTGTGTATCCTGCAGCAGGTAAGACACGCTCGCAGATCAGTAGCAATTTCGGGCTGACCATGAGGTGCATCAAGCACCAGACTGTAAGCAAATATGTTAGTATGCTATAGTGCTTCCTCCTATTAAATAATGAAGAAACCTTATAAATTTGAAAGGCACAAATAAAAGCCTCTCAGCATTTCATTTTCATGCTGCATCATAACCTCCTGAGACCTAGGATGCACTTTTGGGGGTCATTTTGGACAAACCAGGGATTATTTTTACAGCAGGTGTCCGCTTCCCTTATGCTCACATAGGGGAACGTTATGTTACATTACTACGTGTTACGTTAATGTTAATGTTAACGCACACCTTGCAACAAGCTCTCCCTTAGCCCAGCCGTGCTGTGGCAATCATTAGGGCCGGCTGCAAGCCCAGAGGTAAAAACCTGAATTTGAATCGGGAAGCCAAGGGTGGAAGGCCTGATCCCGGATAGGACATTAGGCAGTTCTCCCCCGTGAGGGTGCTGAGGCCCTGGCACAGGCTGCCCAGAGAAGCTGTGGCTGCCCCATCCCTGGCAGTGTTCAAGGACAGGCTGGAAGGGGATCTGAGCTACCTGCTCTAGCGGAAGGTGTCCCTGCCCGCGGCAGGCAGGGGGTCGGAACTGGGTGAGCTTTAACATCCCTGCCAAAGTCTGTGCCCCTATGACCCTACGCACACCCCAACGGACGCCCCGCCCCGCCCCACGGGAGGCGGTGACCCTCGGGACAAGGGGCAGGGCTGTCGGGGGGGCGCCGGATGTGCGTTACGCGAGGTGGGTGTGGCCGGAAGTGCGCAGGACAGGGAAACGGAGGGGGGGACCCGCCATTACGCGGAGTGCACCAGGCCGCGCGTCCCGGTTGTTGCGCCGCCGCCGTTAAGGCGGGCCCGGGCCTTTGCGGGGCGACCAGCGTGGCTGGGCCCTGCTCTACCCTGCCCTGCCCGGTCCCCCGTCCCGCAGCCATGGAGGAGAAGGGGTTCGCTAAGGAGCTGGACCAATGGATCGAGCAGCTGAACGAGTGCCGGCAGCTGAGCGAGAGCCAGGTCCGCAGTCTCTGCGAGAAGGTGAGTGCGGGGCCGGCTTCCCCTCGTCCTTCCTCTGCGAACTGGAGGGTTTTGGTTGGGGCTGGCGGTACCGGGGAGCTGCGAGCAAAGCGTCCCGGCATGGTGGGGCCGTGGCGGGGAAACAGGTTTCCCTCTTCTCCCCCTGCTCGCCGTGATGCTGCACTGTAGTGTGTTTGAGATGGGAGGGCCTCTTGTTCACAGCGCCAGTGGTTTTCTGGCGTCAAAAATGCCACAGTTATAGGATTTATGAGCAGCTGAGAGCTTTATTGAACTGTAGAATCAGCCACTTTGGAAAAGACCTTTAAGATCATCAAGTCCAACCATTACCACAGCACTGCCAAGGCACCATGGCACTGAGGGCCTCATCTACATGGCTTGTGAACACTTCAGGGATGGTGACTCCACCATTCTCTGGGCAGCCTGTTCCAATGCCTGACCACCTTCTTGGTGAAGAAATTGTTCCTAATCTCTAACCTAAACCTCCCCTGGCACAGCTTGAGGCCGTTTCCTCTTGCCTTATTGTTACCTGTGGGGAGAAGAGACCAACCCCACCTCACTGCAACCTTCTTTCAGGTAGTCTTTTATATAGTGATGAGGTCCCCTCCTGAACCTTCTCCAGACTAAATCCCCTGAGGTCCCTTAGCTGTTCCTCATCAGGCTTGTTCTCCAGACCCTTCATCAGCTGTGTTGCCCTTCTCTAGACCAGCTCAATATTTCTCTTGTAGTTAGGGGCCCAAAACTGAACACAGGATTCAAGGTGTGACCTCACCACTGCCAAGTACAGGGGGACAGTCACTGCCCTGGCCCTGCTGCCACACTGGTGCTGATACAGGCTAGGATGCTGTTGGCCTTCTTGGCTGCCTGGCCACAAGCTCATATTCATCTCTGTTAAATCACCATCCCCAGGTACTTTTCAACTGAGCAGCTTAACAACCTGGTCTAGTGGAAAGTGTCCCTGCCTGTGGCAGGGGGTTAGAACTGGATGAACTTTAAGGTCCCTTCCAACCCAAAGCAGTCTGGCATGTTTTTTGTTTTTTTGTTTTTTATATTTTTTCCACCCACATCTCAATAGTCTGTTTTTCACCTTTTGGCTTTGGGTTCACCTAAATTGTGGTGGAGGACTGGGGTGGTATTTGCATTGGAAAACCCATTCTGTTTTTCAGGGACATCACATTGCACTTGTGCCTTCTGTCTCATAATGTGAAGCAGCTACACAATAAAAATCCAAGAGGAAACCTTTTGATGTCCAGTGTGAAATCTAGGAAAGGAGAGGGGGAGAAGAGGTGATCTGTAATGTCGACCTAAACAAGCTGCTGAAGAGACTAAAATAGAATGAGAAGTGGTTGGAGGAAGGACAGCATCTGCTATTTTGGACTGGGGTTTGGACAGTCCTTTGGCAAATTTCTGTTTGCACTTGTTCAGTGTATACTGTCAAGACCTTTTAATTATTTTTTCCCCATCAGGAGACCAGTCTTTAGACTTGTCTTTAGACATTATCTGTCAGATGGGGAACATGTTTTCTGATGCTTGTTCATGGCAACACATTTTGACCAGTGACTATAAACATCTTGGTGCCAGCTTCAAAAGGTGGAGCTATTTCCTTCTGTTGAAGCCTCAGTAGACTACAGCAGTGATGAAGTCTGAACAGTAGAGAGGGTTTGTGCTGCAGCTTCGTAATGTGCCGGAATGCTCATCGAAAAGGTAGGAGCTGCTTACTTGAATGCCACAGGCAGAGACTATGAAGGACTCCATGCCAGAGCTGTCCATTTGGTTTATGACTTTCTCCATCAGTTCTGAGGGATCGTGATGAGAAGAACTGGTGCTGCAGCAGGAACTGACAGCAGTGGCTCGAAGAGTAGAGACCATACAATCATTAGAATCCCAGACTGGTTTGGATTGGAAGGGACCTTAAAGCTCATCTGGTTCCAGCCATCTGCCACAGACAGGGACACCTTCCACTAGACCAGGTTGCTCCAAGCCCCGTCCAGCCTGGCCTTGAACACTTCGCTAATATGTAATCTAAATCTGTCCTCTTTCAGTTTAAAGCCATTCCCCCTTGTCCTGTCCCTACATGACCTTGTAAAAGGTCCCTCTCCAGATTTCTTGTAGGGCCTCTTGATCTTGAAAAGTGAGGATGAGCTCTCTGTGACTGTTTTCTCTTCTGTGTGAGGTTCAGCTAATAATCCTGAAAGAATTTATTAGTCTGATGTGTACCCTACTCCAAGTGTTCCTGTTTGGGAACTGCTGTTCTGACCCACAAGCTGTTACAGAAGACTTTTTCCCTTCTTCTCTGGCTGCATTGTTAAGTAGCTGTGGCTGCTGTATTTTGAGGAGCAGGAGGACAGTGCCAGCAGAATGCAGCTGTATGTCAGGGCCCGCATGGTACACAGGGGGAGTGGCAGCTGGAGGTGGGGAGGGTGTTTGTTATCCAGACAGCAGGTAGGAGGCCTAAAGCTGTGGAGCATGGCATGAAACAGATGTCATCTGTCGCAGCACCTTTCTTCAGTGGTGCTGGTAACTGGGTAGAACGACTGGGTATGAATTAAGTACTCTGCAATGCTCTTATTTGGCTTATTAAATTGTGGGGGAGTGGTTGTGTCTCCCATCTTGTAGTGGAAAGGGGCTTCAGAAAGCCTTTGGGTGTGCAGATTTGCTTTTGGTGTGAAGTAGCCCTGGCAGAAAGCTGGTTCAGTTTATTTCCTTGAGGTAATATTTGGAGAAGCCTTTACCAACCTTGTCTCACTTCTTAGCACTCCCTTTTCTGTGACTAATTTCTAAGAGGGCAAGCACAATAGTACCTCTTGCCTTGGGTTTAAATTTGTGAAAGAGTTTGATAGGTTATAAAAAAAAAAATAAAATCAAAATGAGGTGAGGGAAAAACCCCAAAGAAACAAGTCATAGATTTGCCTGTATGGGTCACTCTTGGTTTTAAGTGCTGGCATGATGGACAGTAAAGAGGGAAAGATTGCACACGGCTAGAGTTGTTCAGGGCATGCCAAATTATTCTGCACTCTGAAAGCTGTTGAAATTTGCACCTGTAGAAATTGCATTGTCTTCACCTGCCCGGGTGAATGTGCAACATCATTTTGGCAGCTCATCAGTCTTGTATTCTTCATGCAGCTAATCAAGATGTCATATCAAGACAGCATGAGAACACTTGATTACTGTTCTGCTGGTCTTTAAAATGAAATCTAGCTAAAATGCAGCATTCAAAGGATAATAGAAGGACAGACATTATGATCACTGCTAGAGTTTGTAGACACGAGAATGTTGTAGAATGTTGGGGAAACGTACATCGGGTGTCTTGCATCTCATGCTACTCTTAACGCCATGGTCTTAGACTCTATGGTGGAAGGCTGTTGAAACTTTTTTCCACTTTCACTAAATAAACAGTGAAAATCTATAGATTTCTGTGTTGGATTATGTCGCCCTTTCATTGGAGGTGCTGTGGCAGCTTTCTGTGCTGATGCTGGCTTTGACGTTGTTAGTTTGGGTACTGATAGCAGTGTAGCACTGGCTGCATCGAACTGCCTTTGAACCTGAACAGGTTGTAACCTGTATTTTGAACATTTAAAGTCAGGTTAAAAGGCCAAAAAGTTCATTTGATTTGGTAGGAAGCACTCCCAAGTTTGGAGAGGAATTCTCTGAATACTTGGGTTTTGAAGTTCAAGTCAGGTCAGCTAATGAATTCTGCTGCAGGTGAGGGAGTTAGTACTTATCCTAGGGAAGCGAGTTTTTCACAAAGGTAATAAAATGCGATATGAAAGCAGGTGAGTAAAAGGCTGTCTCTTAAACATAAGCAAGCAACCATCCATAACCATCTCTCTTGGTAGCTTCTTTTTTCTATCCTTATTGTTTGGATGTGTAAGAAGGGTTACAGTCTCATTGCTGTGAGCAGCTTGAGAGCTTTGTGTTGTGAAGTGGTGGGAGGAAAAGGATTGTAATCACTAATGAGGACATACATTTCTTGTACGGTTATTGAGTGGTAACTGTAAACTGATTCTTCAAACCAAGCAGCAGGAGCCAGTTGAGGCTGTAGGGAGTATTGCTGTTACTGGCATGAACCTATGACGCTTCTGCCCTCTTGAGATTGTTTCGTCTAAGAACGATTTTAGGAGGATGAGTTAGCAAGCTCTTGGGCACTAATTGGTGAAATTAGTATGAGCTAAGTAGCAACCTAGATGCTGTTCAAACCATGAGATTGCAAGTGTTGTGTTGAATCATGGCCAGGAATGTTTCATCTCTGTAGTACTGATGCTTATCCTGGGATGTGCTGGGCCAAGTACCTCTAGGAGCATGTGTAACAGTGTCCATCACTCTTGAGGCTTCAGGGTGTCCTCTGCTTCATCGTTGCTGAAGGGCAGCAGGACAGCTCCATCCCTCTGGATTCCATCTCAT